TGCTATTAAATCAAATAAAAATGCCAACTAATTAAGACAAGAAATGGAAAGGGCCTCTTCCATATAGTTAGACAAAGGATAATTCATACAAAGAAAAAGTTTATATAAGGTTGCAACCTTAAAAAGTAGAATCACAAATGCACCTCAAAAATCGATCGGAAATGTTGTTTTAATATTGAAAAAAATACTTTAATTGATCATCGAGATGTATGAATATAAAAAAAAAAAATTGAATCCCAAAAATAGTGCATTTTGCAACACATTATCTAGACCGTCCATTTTCAAGATTTTCATATATTTATAGATCTACTTAATATTAACTATTTTTGGAATTTAAAATTTTCTTATTAGATATGAAAATAGATTTTAAGATAATACTAAGAATTTTTTACAACAAAATTACATGTTATGATAAAATTTTATGGTGCGGCTTAATTTGATTGTTTAAGATTGCAACCTTATAGAAATCGCACCCTTCATAAAATACTTTTTGGAGGAAGTTAAATAAGGCATACTTCACAAAAAGTACATCTCATAATATGCAACAAAAGGAAAAATAAATGTACTGCATACTGATATGTTATACTGTTCTTATATGTATGTACCATATCCATATCAGTGTGTTGTGCATTGATTTTATCAAAAAATAAGCACAATAGAACATGTAATTTGATCAAAAAATAATTTTATTAAGCAAAATAGAAAAACACTTACCATATTTATTATAAAGCATAATTTTATTAAAAAACCATAATTTTATCAAAAGTTAATTTACTAAGCAAAATGGAAAACCACTTCCCCTATTCATCATAAAACATAATTTTATTAAAAAAACCATGATTTTATCAAAAAAAATAATTTTGTTAAGAAAAATAGAAAAATAGTTCCCATATTTATCGAAAAATATTATTTTTTTACAAAAAAGCATAATTTTATTTGAAAGATAATTTTATTAAAGCAATATAGAAAAAAAAAACGTCCCATATTGATAAAAAAACATAATTTTACTAAGCAAAATGATTTTTTTTTAATAGAAAAATCAATTTATCAAAATGTGAGGGATGATTTGAAATTAAGATCACCTTTGTAAACTCTCTCTCTCTCTCTGGAATCGGACCAGATCGAGATCGGCCAGTGACTGATCCTGCATTAGTTAGTCGAATTTTTAAAAATCAGCTGATCTTTTAAAGGCTCTTTCCATAACATTCCAAAAACCTTGATAGAAAATGGAAAAAAAAATAAATGAGAAAGATAAAAACCAAGCACATACAAGATGATGGTGTAGTGTTTCGTTGAACATAAGGCAACCAAAAATTTTACATGCACTTAAAAAAACAAAATGTCTCATTTCCATCATTACAAATATAACTATATCATGCACTTAAAAAAACATAATTCAAAAAATTCGAGCGACGTTATCATGAACTTATAAAAAAGAAGAATCAAATTCGTCAAAAAAATAATTTTATCAAAATGAATAATTTTATTAAGCAAAATAGAAATACTCTTCCCATGTTCATCAAAAAACATAATTTTATTAAAAAATCATAATTCTACTAAAAATAATTTTATTAAGCAAAATAGAAAAACACTTCCCATATTCATCAAACAATAAAATTTTATTAAAAAATCATAATTATTTAATCAAAATAGCAAAATCCTTCCCATATTCATCAAAAAACATAATTTTATTTCACTATTTTGTTTTTAGAAAATCAATTTTTCAAAAATCCGAAAAATGAAGCAACATTTCGAGCAAGAAACGACCCTCAATGTTTGGATAATCGAACAAATAAACATCCATGCATTGTAAAGGCTGCGATCATCTTTCAAATCCACCAAATATCATAAAAAAATATTCGGTATTTTTAATTTAATTGAAAAAAATACGGAAATTTCAGAACTATGAAAATTTCATGATATGGTGCAACGACAAAAATTCATATAAAAAAATTTAACCAATTTTATTTGAGATATGAAGCCTCAATAATCGAAATCCACAACTCAATTTGATAAAAAACAACCAATAAATGGATAAAAAAAATGCTTTTTGGGAGAACACAGATTCTCTGAGCTGTAGCATTCGGGCAAAAATAAATCCTTTTTTTTTTGTTTTTTGAACAAATTAAAACTTGAATCTAGTAAATACTTCGAATAACAATCAAAACCCTAAAATTTATTCAAGAACCATTCGGTATTGAGGAGATTATTGAAAGAATGGCAGAAATTTTCAAAAACCTAAAAAATCTACCATAATCCAAGAAACTTGTTTTTTTCAATGTTTAAATCTAAACTACTTGTTTTGTATTCATTATATACTGATTTAAACCATTAAAACATGAAAAAAACCAAAAAATGGCAGCAAACCGCATCAAAAAAGGTGAAAATTTAGATTCATAGTTTTTCTGCTACATATAACGGGCTCTGTGATAAATAACAGCCGTTATATTGGCGTTACCATTATATCGTTATATCGGACGATTAAAACGGTAAACCAGACCGGTTAGGTAAACCGGTTGGTTTTGAAAAAAAACGACTGGTTCAACATTGAACCAGCCGGTTCTAGTGTCGATTTTTTTGTGAGAGAGCCGTCTAACAAAGTGTACCGCAAAACCGACCCTAACCGGACTCACCACCCTACTGGTAGCGATCTAACTAGCCAGTTTTGCGAACATTGGTCCATACCTGCTTACATGTTCGAAATTTCAGGAGTCAACAATCTCAAGCATTGCGTTGATGAACAAAAAAATAAAATGAACTTTCAAATTAAAGATAGCATTCTTAAACTTTGTTTTTGCACAGGTCCTTTTTACTATCTTCACATATCATCAGATCTACACCACTTTTTGAGCTGCAAAAAGATGGATCTATGGTGAAATGTATTTTCAGAATTTTAACATAGATTTTGCATTCTGAAACCATAGATTCAATACTCCAGGGACTCGCAATAAATTATATTTTTGAAATGGAATAGATTCCTTGTTATAATAAAAGGTTAATCTCTCCAGTCTTTCTGTCAAATAAAATGGACCAACATTGGGTCCCACATGTCGTAGAATATACCATTCACCAGCAGTGCAAAGCTTGCTCTTCCTCTTTTTCAAACCTAGATTCCCATGAATGGACAAAAATATGAATACGTCAGTATTATATAGCGAAAGGACATCTTGCGGTTTTTGTTTTATTAACAAAATGGAAAAGTTTATATAAGGCGTAAACCACTAGGGAAGGTTGTTCCTAAGTTTAAAAAACCTACAAATCAATCATCTTAACCTGGAGATTCATGGGTATGAAAAAAGAAGATATCTGGTCCTTAAAATATTTCATCTTCCAACAAATTATTCGGGCAATATATTTTCGAAATTTTCAAATGTTCATCATCATTTCTAAAAATTTAAATTTTGTAATTAAAGATAACAATAAATTTTTATGTCCTTGACAGACTTTACAACATCGAAAGTGCATTTTTGCCCTATTTTTTAATTGCACTTAAGTGTAAGGTTGGCATCGTATACAAACGTAACCCAAAATAACAACATTTATCCAAGCACCAATTGTTTTATAGAAATATATAAAATAAGAAGGGGTAGTGGGGAGTAGGAGGCCAGATGTTCGGAGACAAAATTGACAAATTGTCAACCTTCCAATCCAACATTCCCACCTGTATTCACCAACAAAATTCAACGCTGGTACTGCAAGTCCACACCCAATTCAATGTCGTCTACCATGTGCACCTCACCACCCACAATGGACGCACCCTCCAACAAATTTATTTACGCCCATGTCATAGAGAGAGAGACAGCGTGCGGTGTGCTATCGCTGGCCCCCAAGAGAAAGAGACAGAGAGAGGGGCTCTACAACAAAGGCTGGCCCCCAAGAGAAAGAGAGAGAGAGAGGCTCTACAACAAAGGTTAGTAGATTTCTAAGGCTATTGGCAGGAGTAAGAGAAAGTTATTTTAAAATAGGAAAATGGTTCAAAATTTGGGATCCATAATCAAAGAGAAATAGTTGAGATTGAAAAATATGTCGCATACAGAATTAGAGCTGAATGGACGAAATGGAGATGCATAATTGAAATTTTATATGATCACTACCTACCACTAAAGCTGAAAAACAAGTTTTATAAGACAGCTGTGATACCAACTTTGCTCCGTAAGACAGAATGTTGAGTGGACAAAAAATAATATACCCATAAAATGAGTATAGTAGAGAATATGATGTTGAGATGGATGCTGGACAAGATATGAAGGGATAGAATTTGAAATGAATTCAAAAAAATTGAAGTATGACACTAATAAACGAAAAGATACTTAAGTGGACTGGTTATGTGTAACGCCGACCCGGTACAACATCGGTGAGGAGGTACGAGTTGGTTCAAGTAAAAAAATTGAAAATGGTAAAAGCTAATCCCAAAAAGACGTGGTTGAAAACAGTCTAAAAAGATACTGAGATTTATAACCTCACTCAAGGGGTATAGCCTTTAATATAGTATGTAGAATAGAAGATTACAATTCATATGACCGATACCAATTAATTGAAAAAAAACTATAATGATGATAATGAAAATGGTAAGTAAGACCTCACCTCATAACTCATCAAAATTGTAGTAACGTGTTGAAAACCTTTATACTTATCATCTCCACTTGAATATTACGATTGTTAAGAAAAAATTTCAAGCTCCAAAAATAACGTATATTATATTATTATCTAGATTGTCTATTTCACCCTAACAGCAAGTGTCTACATACTACAAAATTTGTGTATTTTTTCAATTTCAAATTTTATTATCTGTGTTGACAATTGATTTTAGAGCCATCATAGAGATTTCCGTTGCCAAAAGCGTTTTCCTCACAAAATTTTGACGTGTGGCTTTATTTTGTTTGCATAAGGCGTAGGCCTTGTAGAAACTTCATTCACTAGTGAAGCAGTGAGGCAGGCATCCCACCACCCTTTCTTGTTCCTCATTGTCGAACTCTCACGGTCCAAACTAAGCCTATTACACATCAAAAAATTCCTATTTCTTATTGGCAACCTCTGAATATCCAAACTCTATAGCAATTCTACGCACCCAAGTATCAAACCTTCTCTATAAAACAAAAAATAATTTTTCCTGTTTACCTACTCACTCTATAGCAATTCTATGCAGCCATATCGGAAAGAACACACATCTCTCTTCAGTTATCTTCAGGCGAGCCACGAAGAGAGAGAGACAGATGTATTTCCAGCTTCCGTTTGTTTTACCGAAATTCAGGCTGATGTAGTCCATGTTGACGGAAGCCTAGTAGATGTTATTTGTGGCATGGGCCTGAGATTGACATCCACAGGGAGCATCCTATATTCGATCTCGAGGTCTCTGCAAATCCTTATCATTTCTTCGACAAATTGGGCTCTCCTCACCCATCGTTCTCCCATCTCTTGGTGGTTCATCTTGTGCTGTAACCAAACTGCTAATTTGATCTTGTTCATGTTCTCCACATCCTTCAACACTACTGTAGGATTCTCGTACCAGTGATCCGGCTTGCTTTCTATATACCTGGACTCAAAACAGATGAGAATTCAGTAAACGGTCACTACAACGGTTGAAATATTAGATGAATGCATCGAAGGCCAAGTGAATTGGATATGGTGGCATTGATCTTGGATAAACTAGTAAGAGAATTTGATGAGATGGGCTTCATCTGAGATGAATTGAGGAGAGAGATTTAAGGTATCGGTCTAAACCAAAAAGGTATCAGAGAGATATTTAGATGATTTTGAGTCATATATGGACTAAGTTTTCCCTAAAATGAAGCTTTTGATGTGATTGATGTTGAGATGAGAAATGGTTTAGAGGATCCTCATTTGTTGAGCCTTACCCTTTAATTCTTTCTTTCAACAAAGCTATCTTCTCCATTGGAGTTGCAAGATGTATACTGAATTCCACGGTATCACCCATGTCTGGGCTCCTATAGTAATTGCTTATTGGTAGAGTAGCGAGCACAGTGTTCGGATATGTGATCTTCTGGTTATCGTATCTCAGGAACACTGTAGTTAAGATATTCATCTCCTCGACAATCATCTGAGATACACAATTGCAAAGATAAGAATGCGGATGAACCTCTCTCTCTCTCTCTCTCTCTCTCTCTCTCTCTCTTCTACTTCGTTACGTTACGTTACGTTACGTTACGTTACGTTACGTTACGTTACGTTACGTTACTTACTTACTTACGTACTACGTACTACGTAACTAC